GCGTTGTCTTTTTGGAGCAAAATAATTAAATTTCAAAGACATGTATTTCATTCATTTAAGAGTACTTCGTGAATGTAATTAATTTTCACCATGTGCGAAACCTTCAAATGGATTAAGCTTCAGGTGGTTGATTCACAGAAGGATGGTCTACAGATTCCTGTAAAAATTTCTTTGGGCAAATGATTGTGAGGGACGCGAGAGCTTTTCAAACTATGTTAAAAATGCAAATGTTTGACCTTCCGTCATCAAATTTCAGTTTACGAGTTAGACGTATATTTTAGCACGTGCCTCATGACTTGACCTATATTAAGTTGAAATAGGCACAGAGCTGATAATTTCATAATGTTCTGATCTGACCTTATTTGCTGTAAAAGGCAGGTCCAAACAGTGATTTGACATGTTTCTCTCACTATTCGTCGCATATAAAGCAGAAGTTTGCTTTTGTTTACACAATGTCCGGTGTACATCGCCTACTGTCAACCTATTATTGGTTGAATACCAGGAATCTGTGACCATCTTTTGGCGCATATGATCACCACTGCATCTAAGTCAAAAACGGCTAAGTCATTTGCAGATAGTTGCTTGCTTTGCACTGCACCATCCTGCGCCAAAATATTTCGTTTGATCGCTTGCTGACCATTGCTGGTAAGAGTGTCGTAGCCCAATCTTACAGCCGGTATTTGTTCGAAGGGAGTGAAGAACATTAGGTCAAGTGCTGGTCGTGAGTAGAATTTCCTTGTTTTATCAATTTTAGGTGTTCTCGGCCTAGCTAACTATTAGAACTCTCTCTGATTCACTAGCGAATCGCAGTAAAGACATAGTGAGGTAATTTGGGTGAAATCGCAGAGGTCTCAACATGTCTAAATTAGCGCTGCAAGTCAAATGATCAAATTATCCTTAAATTTAGCTTTATTTGGCTCGTTCAGCTCATTTGCAGTGACTTCAACGGCTTCTACAATCATTTTATGGCTTCTTTTAAGAGAAAGCGCTCTCAGTACGACATGGCTATATTTATGTACAGTAATTCTGACTGATTTTTCAAAAACATATCCACTATTTTTGTGTGGTCATGACACGGTTTTCATAAATTTAGTCATATACTGGTATACAATAGCCTCTGTTTGCAGCGAAAATATTCTTGCAAGCGTATTTGTCAGCAGACATTATCTTTTCTGAGAAGCAAACAGTTTTCCTTGAGCTTTGAGGAACAGATAATGTTCAAGGACAAATATCCGAGCATATTTTCACACCAAATGGGGGATATTTTGTTTATTATCCTTCAAATGCTTTTCGCAGCATGTGCAGTTTCGAAAGTTGGGAAATATCAATAGAAGATTCCCCAGTTTTAGCTGAGGATTATTCAGTCAAGCAATGCATTTAGACCAATCGCGAACGAGCGAAAACATCTGATGGATTATAAATTAATACAGGATAAAGTAAGGAAGCAGTATTCTGCCATAAATTTCTGACTTAAAATGTTTAACAACTTGTCTAACTTCTCACATGTAGCAATTCAACTCCCAGATAGTCTAAATTAAATGCGATTTTGAGATGGCAATATGGCAACATATTTGCGGCTAATTGGGAGAAATACACAACACTACGTTTGATTAAAATACAAACTCCTAGTACGCATGAACAATTGCCATGGATACCAGCCCACAATGTTGTTTTTCTGTTAGCCGGCGAGTTCAATATTTCAACTTTTAAGCTGTAGATTCCTCTCAGGAACTAAAGAAATTCATTCAGTGTAACTAAGTGAAGTTTTCCAAAGTATCGAGCAAAGAAAAAGCGGAAGAATTACACAAATTCATCTTTATTCAAACTCAAACTTTTCAAAAAGCAGTTTCGCCATCTCGCATGAGCTAGCTTGTGCAGTAACTCACAAACCGACTACTTTGAATAATTGAAAAGCCTACATAAGGATCCCTGTTACATTAAATAGCTTGTAGAGATGACTTAGTGTGCAGCAAAAGTTGTCTGAACTGTGCTAATGGCAATAAGTGAAAGATTAGTGGAAAGCCATTGCTGTAAAATTCTGAACAGGTCCTGAAATTTAAAACTTACGTAAGGAACCCATTTCAGTGCTGCATTGTTATGGCAAATTTTCAACCAATCATGCGCCATTAAAGTGAGACCGCAATACCTAATTCTATAAGGACCAAATAGAGTTAAACTAAGCATAAGACCACAAGTATGGATTGCGGACCTATTTTGGGGGTTCCTATCAGTGGCACATGAAGCCTTTATTTAATGATGAAATTGTCATATCTTAAGAACTGTACTTTAAGGGATGCCATAACTAGTTAAGTTAATTATGAGAGTTTGATTGCTTCAAAATTATGTACCAAGAGTAGTTCAGATTTTTGGGATTGCCTATCAGCTGAATTTAAAATGATTTTCAGCCTGGGGAGGTAATTAAAAAACTTAAAGATTGTTTTACATTCAGATTTTTTATCCTGAAAAATTATATTAATATCTTGAAAGTAGCCAGCATGCGCAAGACCAGTACAACAGTCCTGGATGGCAGTATGGCCTCTGTGGCAACACTGTATCTACTAAGAATGGAAGAGATAGCCCACACACAATTACATAGAGATTTGTTCTTTCTTGTGAACACCATCAAAATGATATACAATGTAACATAAGAGCTCAAGCTGAGAATTTGAAATGTGCAGTTTATTTAGGACTCATGAGCAAGTCCGTGCAAATTCCCTTCCCTTGCTTAATGGTTGTAGATTAAAGAAAATGACCAACAACAGTACGGAAGTGATTGTGTGCTATTGTATCAAATACGCCATTTTATCAATGGTAAAGTTGAGGAGAAAACTGCTGGTGATGGGCCAAGCTTAGCTACAATGTTTGAAGATGACAGACATGGTGAAGATGATATTAATTTTAAATTTAAATTTATTTAAATGTTTTTATTTATTTTAAATTTACTCAAATTCTATTGTGCAGATGATCAAAATAAAATAAAGAATTAAATATATTTAGAAGTATAAAAAAGGAGATTAATTAATTAAGCCAGTTTATACAGAATTCTAGATTCCTTATTTTAAATAAACTACTTGAGATAAGATATAAAATACATAGAATACTAATATAGACAAAATCGCAACAACAATAAGTGATCAGAAAACTATAAAAATTTCTCCTTATTTTAGTTAAATTTACTAATGTAAAACTAAGTGACTTTCTCACTAAATGATGACAATTGATCAATTGTCCTAATAGCTACAGGCAGGCCGTTCCATAAATCCACAATGCGATTAAAAAATGAGAATTTAAAGACTTTGGTTCTAAAACAACCCATGGCAAGCATGGCTTTTAAAAGAATGAATATATATAATATGTTATTTGCCAACTGCGATATGGCGTATTTATATTAACAACAACAACAACAATAATAATAATAATACCGTGCCAAGTTTGAGGTTGTACTACAAAAATAATTTCTATCAGTTACTGCGAATCACTTAAATTCAGACTTTTCTACTGTAAATTGAGTAGCAGAAAGCAAGGAAATTTGTCAAGTGTATTCCACAGATATTCCCTTAAATACAGCAATGATCATAGAGATAAACTTGACTGCAATTGACTTTTTTTGCTTCAAATTGAGCAGCGAGAGAAATACAGGATTACATGCCATTGCAGCGTGAAGCTACAAACAACCAAACAAACTCTCACAACTTGAAAACACTCAATTGAATTTACTTACAATGACTTTCCTTGCCATTTAATAGTGAGTAGAGATAAACTTGCTTTGGTTAATCGTTGATGGAAGTGTAAAAAGGGTAAAGGTTGACAATTACAGTTAGTTAACTCACGAAAATTGACCAACATGACAATTTCACCCATGCTGTTTCCCATCATTATGGTGACCGTGGTCAGAGATAGGAAAATCTGGACTGTGCTAACAACCAATTTTTTACCACACCCTTTTCGAAAAAAATAAAACAATTTAAAAGTTGGCTTACTTTACTGGTAATTTGTATTCACAGCTATCCAGTGGATAAGTGATTTATCCTGTGGATAGCATTATCCACCTTTCGAACAACCTGGGCCTGGTTAGACAATGTAATTTGTATGGGACGTTTGCTTATATAAGGGGATCCTGGCTGATGTCACTGTTTGCATTGTGGCTTATTAGCATACCAGCTGGCATACAAAGAAGGCATCGTGTTAGATATGAATTGACTCCAAGCAGTTGAAGAGCTAGTGAAAATTTGTTAATTGTGAAGTTAATGGTGCTTTGACCTTTCAATATTCAGAACTGATTCTTTGATAGTTCCATCAGAAACTGAATCATTTATGCTTATGAGGCAAATAAAATTTGTGGAAAAAAGGATTTCCCCATACTAGCCAAAGAATAGTTATCTGAAAAACACACAATCACAACTTAACTGTTTTTCTTTTTTCAAAACTATTTGCTTTATAGTAAACTCANCCATACCGAGCATTTGTTTTTCGTGGACTTGTCATTTCATGTTGTGTTGAAAGAACAAATGATTGGTCCAGCCAAATTATATTCCAACCAGATTTCCATGAATGCAGTGATGAAAGCCTCTACAACATCTTAGCAGTTAGCAGCCTTCAAACCACTATAACCCAGCCATGATCAAGTCATAAGTGATGTTTAGGTCACATACATCTGTGCGAACGAAGAACACCATCAATCTAGCCCAACAAGATAGCATCATTGGCAGGAATCCTCGAAAGAGTTATGCAGGAAAGAATGAAGCAGCTTGGCAAGGATTTACATCTTATGCAAGCCCAGCAAGCTCTGCCATTTCTGATTATCCCCCCAATAAGGCTTGTTGAAAGCTAGCTGTAGGACAGAATTGTATCAAGATTATCAGTGACAAGTCAAAAAAATATGTTGCAGAGTTGATGTGGTACTTTCCTGCTGTTTGAAATTCAATTACGTCCAGGACATTGCTATTTCCAAGGAAAACACGGCTACCAAGGGAGTGAAGGTCGAACACTGATCGTGAGTAGAATTTCCTTGTCTTATCAATTTTAGCTGTTCTCAGCCTAACTAACTATTAGAATTGTCTGTGATTCACTAGCGTGGAAGAAATTTATTTGCTTGGCTTCCTGTTGATAATTGACGTAACAAAAACATGTTGAGTGTTCATTTAGTAATAATTAAGGCCTACTTTCTGTGGGGTTTGCTCGATACTCGAAGCAGGAAGCTCTTGTTCAGCTCATTTTGATATCTGTACATTTGTGTTGATTTAGACTCGGGTTTCATGTGGAAAGCTGTCCTGATTAAATAATATTGTACAATTCGTGATTCAATGAAAAAATGGCAAATTTAGTCTTCCTGGCCTCAAAAGTAACGCAGGAGAGTTATTTCCTTTTATTTGAGCCAGGATAAGCCTTGTAGAAAGCTAGCTCTAGGACAGAATTGTAACAAGATTATCAGTGTCAAGTCAAATTCTATGGGGCTTCTTTAAGGACAAAATAACGAACATCCATACATTAATGTTTTGTTAAATTAATTATTGTTGTGTGAGATAATACAAATTTTAAAATAGCATAAATCAATTTCGTATGGGATACATCGATTTTGAATGTCATACATTGATGTTGTGCAGCAAACATCACTTTCCTAAATCATGCATGACCGTGTACAACTAAAAGATGATCGATAAGCCTAAAAGATGAGGTGTTAATTCCCAAGGCCTCTTCTTTTGGCCGACTTCGGGTCACTTCTATTTCTGCTTCCTATTTCTGCTTTCAATGACTTAGTCATTGAAAATTCTTGATTTTTTCCATTTCTGATCTGTTTTCTAGAAACCTTTCTCATCTATCAAGGGAAATGGTTTCCTTCCGCATCAAATTCAAACAGCAGATCAAGTGGTTTCACAGTTTTTTTGTTTCTGTCAAATTTTGTAACCTTTTCAAGTTATTTTCTCAGTTAGTATAGAGTGCAGACTACAGACTGAATGCAAAACACAGATTGAGAATAGACTGTTTGTTTTTCTCTTATGTGATAACATGTCATTTTTCAACTTACCAAGTGTCATGCAATCGCTTTTCTGCAGTCATCTTCAAGAATGGGGAATATTCCAGGCCCATTTCTTCAAATATTTTGTTTTTAACAAAGCATCAAGGCCATAATCATTCTTAAATAGAATTTCAAGCCTTAATAGTCTTCACACTTTGCGCATGAGATTTCAGTGTTAAATAACAACACGTAATATGATGGAATCTAAGAATATTGAGTAAGAATTTTGAAGCAAATTAGGGTCAGAGCTCAACGTTGTGACCACTGCGACCAAATTTTTTTTCATTGGTGACTAACTTTCAATCCTTTCCACTGAAATACATTTGCTGGCGACTAAATCTGACAACTTAGGAGCCAGCTGTCCCCAAGGTTTCTTCCTGAAAGTAGAGCCCTGAGAGTGTTCATGTTCTCCTCATGTACAATGTGTTGTATATCATAATATAAATGAAGAACAATGGGCAAATTCTAACAGTCAAAAGCGAAGCTTCATTTTCGTGACTGGCCATTTGTTTAGTTTTCTTGTTACATGTGTTTGGTAACTGTGTGTGTTCACCCTTGAATGTTAATTTAACAATATCAAGACAAAGGAGTAGTTTTGCTGTAAGTCTGCATTTGGCTACAAAATGAACACTGATAAATCTGTTAGAAGGCCTAGAGGAAGTTGGTTCAGTGTTGTCACTCTGTTGTTTCTCAAATATTGTACACGTGTGTTATGTGATACTGACCTCGAGCGTGAAGTGTTAATACTAGGAAACCTTGAATTCTTTTCAAGAAATGAATATAGCCTTTATACCTTGTTAAAAATAGAATATATGAAGTAACAGGCCAAGAATATTCCTCAATATTGCAAATTCTTATGGAAGATGACCATGGAAAAGTGATTGACACTTGGTAAGTTGTAAAATGACATGTTATTATTATTCCCAGTCTGCATTTTGTACTCAGTCTGATGTCAGCAGTTTGCATTTTTTACTGATTGCCTACATTTTTTATAGCAGAGTACCTGTGGACTGAAGGCGTACGAGTGGAGCCCCAGATTTCATTCCAATTTTAGGACTGAAATCTTTGTTTTTCTATAAAATAGGCGTAGGCATTCTCAGATTGGCCTTTCTTCAAAATTTCTGATGCTTCATATACTATATGTAAGCCTAGCACTTTATGGGTGGGTTTCAGAAGATGTCAGAATGAAGGCTGAGAAATCACAGTGTTTGACATATTATTGCCAACTAGACAGGCCAGCCCAAAGGCGAACCTGTCTTGTGCTCTGTCAGTATGCAAGACGACATGCTTTTGTTACAAAACTAGGACAATTAATATTCTGTTTATGAACTCGACTTTGAATCGCCTTGGCTTTGGGATGCTATCCATGGGTACAGCTTTCTTTCACTTATTTTGATTGCATGTATTGATTAGTTCCAGTGGCCACAAATAGTCAGTTCAGTATCCAGCGAAGGTCAAAAATGTTTGGAATTGATGGAAAGGTTATGTCTATCAGCAAAAATATTCGAATCAGTTGCCAGAACTATGTAGTTTGTTTACTACTGAATGAGAATGCAGGCTGTAATGCCTGTTATGTCGGCGAAACCACCCGACATTTTTCCACACGCGTACGCGAGCACTTAGCCGTTGATAAGGCCTCTCACATTTTCAAACGTCTTCAGANAAACATGTCTTGTAAACTTAAAAAATTGGTCGTTTTCCTTAAAATCTTTACATGTCTGCTGTTATCTAGACCTTTTGGAAATATTTTAGTCTACGGAAACTGGCGCTGTCACACAATTGTTTAGACTCTTTAACTAAAGTAAAGGCATCGAAGGCACTCTCACTCTTTGATTACTGCTAGTTTTAAATTTCAGCAGTAGTTCTTTGTGTTATCATTTTACTATAGATTCACAATAATTATTATAGAAATTCAGATTTTCTAGTCCATGCTTATTTATGGTCATGTACTGTTCATCGCTGTCTATTTTATGTTTCTTGTTCCAAACGAAAATATTTGTTGAGAACAATTCTTAATACCTCGTGGGTTTTAATTTTTGTATAATATCAAACAAGGAAGTGCATATGAAACTTCAAAACACAAAGCAAGATAGCATTGTGCCTTTTTGGCACTTGCCAGAAGGTATAACTAGTATAATTAGCATGTGATCACAGTACAAATTTCTGTGAAGGGTGGTTCAAGCAACTTGTGGGTTAATCAATTTTGGCTACAAAAGACAGGTATAAAACTGACAATGAATTGGCAATGTTTGGTGCTATTAATTTTGGAAATATGAGTGCCATACGAGGGCAGATTCAAGACACTTTTAATTATTATTTATTTATTTTATGGGGACCCAGGGATATAAACCTTGAAGACTCTAGCATTTGTAGCTACATGTATTTGTGACAGGCTGTTTTGAGCATATTTATTTTGTTAGTGTCCAAACCATTGGCTCACTCAACTCACTTGCGTTTAAATCAAATTTGACAACACACAACAGGCTTAAAACATTGAAGTGATGGGTTTCAGTCATGCAGAAATATCTTAAGATGACAATGAGTGGATTAAAAACTAACCTCTTTTGCGCATTTTCTGGGAATAAGCAAACAGATAGATGTCACAAAAATTAATTGTTAGGTCTATGATCAATATCTCTCTGCACATGTATATACATACCACAATGTGTCAGATCAGGGAATCAGGCCAGATTAAACTGCATTCGTCATGTTACTGGAAGTGTAACATTTGTATTCTGTTTACTTTACATTTTCTTTTTAGTATGAGAGTAGCCTGCGTACATCCAGATATACACAGGCTAGCATGAGAGCATAGTCTAAACTTTGAAGGGAAATGCAAGTCACGTGGAACTTATTCTATCGGAGTGGTTTGCGATTCCTCTGATATCAGTATCATTTCAATCCATGAAATAATTAAAGCAACAAACAACAGATTTAAGCTAAAACTTGGCTTGAATACAGAGCTGCCTAAACTTTCCTGAAATGGAAGACATGGAATTCTAAACTGTGTGACAATCTGTTTTAAAGAACCCTTTTGATAAAGGGTTTTAAATACTGAAGTCCCAAAGAATTAAATGCAACTCTAAAATAAGAAAAATCTAGGGATCACAATGAGAAAATAAAAAACTATCATATAATGCGCACTTTCCAAGCTAGCAAACAGGTATAAATCACAAAAATTAATTGTCGATAAAGGTTGAATCAGGCCAGATCAAGGCAGATGGAATTTTATTGGCAAAATTAATGAAAGTGAAAATGTATTTTGTCTACTTGATCTAGTGTTATGCTTGCATTACACTTGTTTGGTTTGGCATTGGATTTCTCTGCACTAAACAAGTGGCAACGGGCAACCGAGGCAAAGGGTCTTTGATTACATTACATGAACTTTCACATGAAATGCATCTTAGCTGCTTGACACCGGTAGACTTCAAAATTAATTTCAGCACCATTATGTAAGATATAGCTCAATCAAGTAGCATTGTTATTAGTAACTTGAACTTGACATTCATAATTCAAATGACATAATTACATAGTGTATTATTTATTTGGTTTGTAATTTACAGCTACAAAGGTTTTGTGTTTTATTATGAGTGAGCTGTTCTGCTGCTTATCTTACCATTACCTTTCTGAGTTGTTAAGTAGGTAATACTACATATTTAATTTTGTACTTTGCTGTACATCACAACCAAAACAAACTTGTTGGGTCTACCTACATGTAATCATTTCAGTCTGCCGAAATGCTCCTTCCCTCATGATCAGAGGCTTTAAATTCACAAAAAGTAACTCTTGCATTTTTTGAGTGCATGTACCTACATGTATGTTTTTGCTTAGTTCTACTGACTGAGATTTTTGTGAAAGTCAACCTATCTTTTCTGGAAAGTACTTTTGTGCCCTTTCATATGAGATATGGTAAATTGCTTTGCTGTAAATACTTGGTGAGATAAGCAAAACAATTTTAGGGGAAGTAGTGAAAAAAAAATAGAGTGAGATGTTGGTTCCAAACACTTTTCTGCCACTTCAATTTTCAGACAATCCTTGCAAGAAGAAAAAATACCTCCCCAAACTTGTACACATTTCCGAAAACGAGTACACTGATTCAGTATTTCATCACGTTTCATTTGCAGCTTGAATTTTCATGTAAAGTGCCTAGGATTCATTTAGGAGATGTAGAGAAAACCGACATAGAGAGCTGTTGTCTCATGTCACTCCAATTCAAGGTGAGCTTGAAATGAATCTGAGAACAAAAAGGAAAATAGTACAGGTGTAAAGTCTAATGGTACAATGTCTGTATGGATCTGTGGAATGACTGCTCCTCATCTGGATCAAAAACTCTGAATTTCTTGCCTTATCAATTTTCTTGTTTTGTTTGTCTTTCTTTGCAGCATTGGATTAATGTTCTGCTTATTTCGGCACTGACCACGATGCAAGCCCAGAAGCAAACACCTCACTCAGTTGAAAATGTAAGTATGTCATTTTTTTTTTGCTAGGCTCACTATTTCACACAATTCATTGTCAAAAGTGACGTAAAGGTTTTTCTTTATGCCTTTTGTTGGGTGTCCCTTTCTTATACCCACTTAATTTTTTACTGATTCAGTGTTATGCTTGTTTTGTTTGCAGTTTGAACATTATCGAGAGGTGGTGGAATGTGGACACTGAAACTGCATGTTCTTTTGATAACAAAATAAGGTAAGCAAGAAATTATAAGTCAATGGAGTAACAATGGATAATGCCATAATGTAAGTACTGCCAGTATAGACTGTGTCATTGCCTCAGGGAAAATAGCAATGTCTGTTTAACTGTTGATTCTCGAGGGATAAGGATCAGATCAAAAACAGCAAAGTCCTTGCTTTGGAATATTTCATACATGTAGCAATGCATTTGATTTGTTTCTCGTTTCCTACTTCCTTTCTTGTGGGAGGCATGGTGGCCTCATGGTTAGTGTGGTCGTCTCCTCATTGAGTGGTGCAGTCTCGAGCCCTGGCTGGGGACATTGCGTTGTGTTCTCGGCCATCCAGTGGGGAGCAGAAATACTCCTAGTCACTTCATGCCACAGAAACCAGGGTAAGCTCTGGCCTGACAGGCCCACTTGGCTGGTATGGAGACTTTACCTTTTATCTTCTTTACCTTTTTCTTACTAGAGAGTTCCTCTGTGTCCTATGCTGACCACGATCCAAGGCTAAGGGGAGATACACTCCATCAAAATTGTAAGTGTTTTTCTATGTTGCTGAGTGATGATATCTTTGTGCAATTAACCGTTGTATTGGGAAAACAGGATATTTTTGGTTGGGAATGTAATGAAATAGCCGGGAACAGCTCAGGACATGAAAATTGCTACGAGAACACTGAATGTTAATTTTGAAGGAAATTGGAAATGAACCCAGAATTTACAGGACAACCTTCATCACTACATGGTATGGTTCCAAACACATTAATATTTAGGTTGTTACCCATGTTAAAATTAATAAGCTTACATGTATTCCAAAAATAGTAATTGAAGAATGCAACAAATATTTTAGAACATAGATGTGGAGCAGGGGGAGCTGGCAGCTACCTTTAAACATGTCACTTCTGCTTTAGATTATTGCCCCAGTGAAGCAATCTGTCAATCATGTGAGAACTGTAACAAGCATGTACATAACATGAATATAACTCGAGGAAACCGCAACATGTTTTGCCACCATTTTTGTTCAGAATTTGCCTTCAATTCAATAATTGTTTTTTTGCTGTTAGCTATTTTTAGCAACAGATCTGAGACAATCAGGACTAAGGGAATGAAGGGCCAACTTTGCACCACATTAGTGACAAGTTTCAGGCGGATATTTTCCTGCTGAGCATTGTAGATTTCACTTCTTTGTTGCCTGTAGAGTTATTCCTGTCTCAGGAGGATAAATAAGCTGAAGCTTTTATTTTGCTGCACATGGTAATTTTAAGGTTCATTATGTCCCATCTTCACACTGACACAAGAGAAGATTTCCTTTACAATTGCTCTTCTCTTATTTCTATGGAAAATAGTGATGTAAAATTGTTCCATGACTGCCTTGATATATTGCGAAGCCTCTGAATGTCTTTGAAATATTTCCCAGCTGTTCCGAGTTGTACATTAGAACTTTAGCTTACATTAAATAGGCATTTCTCTCGAAAGGGTTGTCTGTCCTAATTTAATTATGAAACAAGGCATGTACTTAGTGATTTTCCTTTAAAAAGTTGAGTTTGAAGACTTTGTAGGGCCCTTTACTTGAATGCAGTTACAGATCAGTCAACAACACTGTAAATACAGCGTAGCTACCAGATGTGCAAGTTTCGATAATACAGTTTCTTAGCCCATGAAAATAAAGAAAGCACCTTCTGCTCACATGCTTTGGCATAATTTGTACTGGTGATAAGCATCAGTTTAATTTGTGTGGTGGGAGAAAACTCTGTCATACTTCTGATATCAAAATAGGGCTGTTATACAAAGGGAGATACAGTCAAACCTGTATTAGGCGGACACCCTCGGGACCCATGCTAGTATCCCCCTAATACAGGGTGTCCATTTAATATAGGTTCCCTCAGAATTTGTCTTTAAAGGGTCATACTAATATTCCTCAGTATTAAAAGACCTTGGAAGGATCAAATAACATTCTCGTTAACGGTCGAGAACTCTGAAATACGGCATTTCCATAAACAATGACAAGTATATGAGGTAAAGTGATTTAAGTATACAGTAACAGTATCTATACTGCTCGAATCACGTGAAGGTTTACACAATCAAACAAGAACAAAAGTTCTGTAAAAACAAAAAGGCATTCTTTTTGCAGTGTCCGTTTGATACAGGTTTCTAACAATAGAAGTGACCATCAAAGTCAAGTTTAAGGTTTGTGCGTCTGCTTAATAGAGGTGTCCGTTGAATACAGGTATTTTTTATAGTGAATTTGGGAAAAGAAAAATGGGCTTGCACTGCTGTCCGCTTAATAGAGGGTGTCCACTTAATATGGGGTCTGCTTAACTCAGATTTGACTGTATGAAATAGACCAATGGAATGCAAATGATCCACCTGTTTGTGTATGCTTGTAATGAAGTACACAGGCCAAATGGTCATTCATCCAGACAACTAATTAGGCCAATTTGGATATTTGGCTCCAAAGCTCTGGAGAATAACAAGAATTTGTCTCAAGCGCAAAGGATGTTTGTTTTATTCCTCAAAGAGAAGAGTATTAGGGTTTCAACATTACCGAATTTGGCCTCTTGTTTATTATCAGTGGCAAGTTCCTGTAATGAACAATAGTTAAATAAGACGATAAGGATCGAAGGCTAAAATAAAGTCAGATGAATGAAGTCTTAAATAGTGCTTGTCTCAAATGACAATTCTTAGGAGGAGCATGTACTGTTTGAAAACTGATTCATTCAAAGGCAGCATAAAAAATCAGTGCCAGGGACTATAGAAAGGGTAACAAAATGATGTAGTACAGAGGCACCCAACGACCGTTTTCTCTCGAATACTGTTGGACGCTGTTTTAGGCTATCTGGAGTACTTTTAAGGCTCTGTACGTTAATTTTAGGTTGCACTAAAAAAATTTTATATGTTCGGATATTCTAGGGGAACTTGAGTGTTCTCGAATTTATTCGGGCTTTTTTGTCCATTTCCCGAAAACGTTAGGTCTTATCGCCTTTCCGAAAATTATAGCTGACCTTTTTTCGGTACCCAAAACGACATTTTCAACAGTCCGAAAACAACAGACATTAAATTTCTCATATCACGAAAGTTCGAGGTGCCAATTC